AAAGCCTGATTTTATATGCAGTTAATTATTTTTTGGGATAAAGAACTGATAAAAGATTGGCGAGCATGCGCCTTATGATGATGTGCTTAATTTACTATTTTCGCTTCCACTACTTACAGGAGCATAACAATTCTCGCTTTACGTATGTCCCACTAGTTTTTGGCCGCGACTTTGACCGCTTGGAACTGAAAGAGAACCATTTTTAATTGCTTCCTTAGTATGTTCTTTTTTTCGGCATGTGGCTTTTAACCAGAATTAAAACGCGTATAATTTAATGTTATGGCCAAGACTTTTGCTTTATTAAAAATATTAGAGTGCGCCAAAATGTTTTAAAAATGATGAGCAGGTGACTGACGTGTCTGGTTCAAATAAAGGATAGCCGCAAGTCACAATTTTGAGCAAATTTTTGCAACAATAACACGCCGATTTTTTTGTTCCAAGGCGTCGATTAATTTGGGCTTAGTCCCACAATAATCCCACAAATAACCGTCCAACAGTGTTAAATCGCACGATCTTCGAAACCACGCCAGGTCATGTGCTAACCAGAAAGTTCCTCCAATAAATTTACTGTTTCCTTGGCTGAATGGCATGTAGCGCCGTCCTGTTGGAACCAATCCGAAAACCAAGATCTTTCCGTCATGGTGGATCGACTCTTTCGGAACTGCTTCGGCTTTCTGCAGCGGCTCTGTGGTGCTTTGTTAATTTCTTGGGTTTCGGTATACTTGTGTGTTCATAACATAAAACGAATATTTTGGAGATAATTTATTTATTTTATTCACAAGAAAGACAAACTACGAGAAGAGTACATATTATCTCATTGAAAATCACAAGTTTAAAAAAACACTATTTAATGAAGTAAACGGTAAAGTCACTCTAGATGTTGAAAAATAGACTCTTTCTTTTAACTTACTGTCCGAATATGGGGAAAGAAAAATAATTTCTATTTAACCCATTTCATTGAACGTACATATTGTATATTGAAGTATAAAAAAATATTTTTTAATTATTATTTTGTTACAAAATGGCGGTGATACAGTCCATTACTTAATCCATGTTTTTTTAAAAGCGTCCACGGGAGAACCGCTATCTTCTAAAGGATGAGACCTACAACAGAAAATCAAAAAGTTTTATGATCTACAAACTATGGTCTTAGGAAGTACGTACGGATTTTTTTTTAAATAAATATTTTGTGAAAGCGGCACAATTTATTTAAAAAGATAAATTTTTGAAACGCGCCGAGAACCAATATAAATTTTCTATTGTATTGTAAATAAAACGCCTTTGTATTTTGTTTAATTCAAAATCTACCGCATTGTTGATTTTATGTTAAGATCGTGTTTTCGAAACACTTCTAGAGTATCAATAAATATAACAACAGCAATAAAAATAAGAACACAATCGTCGGCATTTTTAAAACTGATTTATTTTAATTTCTTTTTGCATTACGATTTTTTTTTTAAATATTAGCGTCGGTTACAAAACTCGCACATACATACATATACATACATAAACATAAGGGGTGATTTTTTAAGAGATATAGGAAAGCTTTTCAAACAAAAAAAAAAAAACACAATAAAAAGTTCAAAAAAATGCACGAAAATTTTACTTGAATTGATAGTACGGTAAATATCATTTAATATATGAAGATTTCTTCATGCAGATGTTGACCGTGACCGCCTTAAATGGTCCATCCGCTTTGTTCAATTTTGGCATACTCTTTCCAACATTTCGACCGGTACCCCACGAATAAATGCTACAAAGCTGTTCTCCAGTGTGTCAATTGAAGCGGTCTTGTCTGTATAGACTTTAGGTTTAACATTGCCCCGCAAAAAATAGTCTAAAGGCGTTAAATCGCACGCTAGAGGCGTCCAATTGACCGGTTCCGAACGTGAAATAAAAGTTCGCCGAATTCGCCTCTCAATAAGTCCATTGTTACGTGTGCTGCGTGGACTGTGGCACCGTCTTGTTGAAACTACAAGTCAAACAAGTCAAGCTCTTGCATTTTGGGTAAAATAAAGTTTTATATCATCTCACGGTGGCGCTCACCATTTACAGTTACCTTACGATTCGCATCATCTTTGAAGAAGTACGGTCCAATGATGCCACCAGTCGATAAGCCACACCAAACTGTGACTTTTACTGAATTCTGAATGGTAGCTCTTGCAATGCTTCTGGCTGATCTTCACTACAAAATCGACAAGTCTGCTTATTTATGCACCCGTTAAGCCAAAATTTAGCTTCGTCGCTGAACACAATTTTTCGATAAGAAGGTGGATCTTCGGCCAACTTTCCAAGAGGCTATTCACCAAAACTTCTGCGTTGCGGTAGTCAGTCGGCTTCAATTCTTGCAGCAGCTATATTTTGAAAGGCTTCACAGCACTTAAATCCATCCGCAAAATTTTCCACGTTGTTGAGTAACAAAGGCCCAATTGCTGCGACCGGCGACGAATCGATGGTCATCATTGAGACAGTCCGATACAGCTGCGATACTTTCTTCAGTTCGCACTCTATATAAGCGTGTTGGTGGTTTAATGTCCAACGATGTAAATTTGGTGCGAAATTTAGTCACTTTAAAATTAAATTAATTAAATTAAACTAACCGTAAAATGGAAGCAGCGCCCGATGGACTTTCTTAACAGAGCACGCATTTTAATAGCAAATTTGCAAGCGTGGTTCGTTTGTAAGACGATACATGATTAAATTATAGACCAAACTGAGGATGTTTGATAGAGATACAAAACACGAAACGTGCATCAGCTGTTTAAACCAGTATTGTCAAAAAGATAATCGCTAAAAAATCACCCTTTATTTTAATATTTCTCCTGCTAGAACAAATCAGCGATTTCATGATACTGCCAGTTGCTCGGTAAAATAAATAAGTAGATTAGGCATGCCATTAAAATTCTAAACGGAGTTAAGTAACGATATTTGTAGAGAAGCGGGAGAAATAAAAGTAAATATTTTAAAATAAATAGTGAGAATTAGTTAAAACTTCAGCTGGTTCAGGCTGCTCGTTTTATCTTTATTTTTATTTTTATTTTCTTTATTTTTATATTTAAGTTACACTCAAAAAGCCTCTGCGGGTACATGCGAATCACTAAACGGACAACAACTACTGCAGGCATACCGAGACAATTGCAACTCAGCTATGCAACCCCATCGACCGTTGCTAGCTACGTCTGCGGACTGCAGCCGATGATACAGAACGGATGCAACGAATTAACGCCTACGCACACTGATTTCACATGCAACTTGACAATGACGACAACAAGCGCTACGCTACGACATAAACGGCGAGACAGGTACTGAGACGTTGACTATGCCGAGCATGCATGCGCTCATAGATATGCACTTAGACGTCACTGCCTGAGGCTTTGCGAGGCAAACGCAAAATTAAATACAAAAATAAAAAACTAAAGCGAAGAAGTGGCGAAAAAAATAAGAATAATTACGGCACTGTGCCAACTGAGTTCATTCATCGTATTGGCGTGGGAAATTAGAATGTTGAGATATTAATTGCTAATGTGGAATAAATAATCGTTGCAAAAATGTGCTTCTACCGAGATGCAAAGTTCGCATTGTGAGCGAAAGTCGTAAAATATTTATTTGTAGAATAAAATTAAAAAGTATTTTTGTAGTTTGCAATTAAGAGAGGGGGGAGAAAGTACAGTCGCTCAGCGTTTAGTGTGAGATTTTTTCCAATAGTCGCGTTTGAGCGCCTTTTTTGATGCAATTTCGCAGATTGTGGAGATACGTTCATCCACCGAGTCAATGCAGGCACCCAACGAGGGAGTCGCTCTTCCACCACGAACTCGATACCAAATTTGAGCTCCTTTATATGAGCGCTGTGGTAAATGTCGGCTCAGTCCTTGTAAAGTCCATCGTACTTTTTGGAAGTCGGTAATGTCAGCGCTTAGTGTAGCGAGGACATCAACCTTCCTAATTAAATAATTAAGGGCATTCCAGGTGCGTGTGCATATGTGGGTTTCAGAAGGGGGTATCATTGGCGCTGGTTTCTATATATCAGATCCCAAACCCGAGGAACAACATCGCTAGACATTTGTATACACATATAGCGAGCGGGTTGTTGTAAGACCGACGCACGTTCGCAGCAGCACCTCAGATCAACAGACACCACAATTAGACTTCAGCGAAAGCTTAAAGGGAATGAGTCATAGCGGCCCAACTGAAGCTTCCTCTCTTTTAGCTGCTTGCGGGCTTATTACCACAACTTGTGCAAGAGTTGCTCTCGTTTCCAGAGTGCGTGACGTGGACGCAAGAGTAGAAATTGAGTATATCCCTTCGATTGCAACTGCATACCCAGTAGTTTGACTACACTCCTCTTTTGGGACTCTGAAACCCCAGTTATCTATTGACTTAACATCTCATACTGAAAGATCATCCAGCAAATAGATGTCTAATTAAGGGACTTTGGATGGAAACCTGCACTTGAATAATGATCCCAGTAATATATGCCGAATTCCGCGACATAACTCCGACACAAACCAAAAAAGCTTCGTTTTAGAAATTTCTTTAATTAGTGTAAACTTTAACTCAGTGGTCTATTTTAGAGTCTTCCAAAAAGGCATTTTTTATCTATTCTAAAAATATCCAATTCGACAAATTATAGAAGCTAGAACAGTTTTAGTGGCCGAGTGTAGAGCGGGTCGACTGCTCGGGCAGACCGGTGAGGCGCGTTTTCTCGAGTTTTCATTTTTACAAGTCTCAGGAAACGGTGCCGGGGATAGCAAAAAACACATATGCCGAATCGAAAAAAATCAAAGTATTGAATTATGTACTATTTGAATTAAAAAAGTTGAACAAAAGTATTAATTAAATTTTTTTTTTTTGCAAATAAAAGTGATTTTTTTGTTCAAAAGGCAATTTTTTTAAGCATCGAAAATTTTTGGAATTTTCCAACTTCCTTGAGAATTTATTTTTAATTTATATACTAGAGACACTAATAAAAATTAAAACAAAAATTGGTTCGATTGTTTCAGATGCAACGCACGACCGCCATCTCCGGCACAGTTTCACGAGTTCAGACTGTAGACGCTGCAGAAATTTCTTCACAACATTGGCCAGCTCCAATATTTTACACGGGCATTGAAAAAGTTTTTTGAAGCTTAAATAAGTCTCGTTTACTGCAATAATTCACTTCTCTTTCAAAAAAATTGAAAAAATTGAAAAAAAAACGATTTTTTCGGGCTCTAAAGGAGACTGCTGTCTTAAAGCACCGAAACTAAGTTCTTATGTCCACCCTAATGTCCTGCTTATAATGAATTACTAATTCGCATTGATCAACGCAATAGACATATGCAAATGTGGTACAACAACGTCAGCAACACCTTTTGTGAATGAATGTATTAATCGACAGCAACATATGTACATATGTACATACATATATGTGGACACGATCTATATACATATGTATGTATCTACAAATGTGAATAATGCATTGCATTCGCTATTTACGAGTACGTTACGTGTCGAGCGTAAAGTGAAAAAAAGACAAACTTTGTCGGCAACTATTTTACAGGCAATACAATAGAAAAAGCAACAACAATATACAATATACAATACAGTGCAGTTCATTAGCGAATTTTGCGTGTTATTCTATAAATTCTTCTTGTCAGTGTCATATTGTCACACTACCCGGTGCGCATACATACATACATACATAGTACAAGCGGATTGAGAGATTTGTTGTCTCTAATCTTTGCTATTTGTGGCATAAACATGCGCGCACAATAACAAACACCGATTGCATACAAAATAGAATTTTATAAATTTTATAATCAAACGCAAATAATAATTCTTTTCGTGTACTTGGCTGTGTGTGTAAACAACAATAAATCTGTCAAATTAAAAATAAATCGCTTTGAATGAAATTAATTGGAAAGCTAATAAATTTAGCGCCACCAGTGATACATACATACTTATCAATTTGTATGTGTGTGTGTGTATTTATTTTTGAAGTGGCGTTTATACAAAGTAACGTATATACACGTATATGTATGTATGCACATACGTAAAAGTGATTAATGCTGTTGAATGTGTGTATAAATAGCAAAAAGTGATAAGAAATAAAATTAAAATAAATTTTTGTTTTGCCATAAAATCGTGCAGTGCAAATTTACGCAACAATGTCAAAAGATCGCAAATACTCACGCTACGACACCAAGGAGCGTGAGGAGCTGCTGCTCAACCCGCCGGCTAAAGTGCAAATAGTGCAACGCAGCGGTGGTGAGGGCAAACAGCGATATGAGGCGATACCTGCGGCTGACGATAGTGGCCTTGACGACCAGAATGCCACGATCACAAGCTGGCTGTTGGACAAACCATTGGAGTTGCAGGAGCGGCAAGCAGTTGGTGAAGGTTAGTATCATACAAATTTTACAATATTTCTATTTGCATATTCACAAGTACTTAAATAATATTTGCTCACACCATTCAAGGTCACACATTTCTTTTTGGTGTAAATTATAATGATTTAAAAACTAAGTTCGTATGGCATAATATTGGAGCAACTTCGGTTAAGCGGCCAACAAGGTGCTTTATTTAATTATCCTTCCTTCAACTTCTCAGCAGTGCTGCCAGATAGTGCTATTTAGCGCCGAAGCTAACTTTCTTGAGGGGCTGGGAAGAGTTTCCATATTAAACTAGCTGTACCCTTCACTGTGACACATGAATGTTTGAAAAATGAAATAATAGACATCGTTTAATTATAATTTCATTTACTGAGTTCTTGTGGATATACAACGCTTTTGGTTTTACCTTTCGCCACGCAAATTATAGGTCTTGAAGGCCAAAAAAAGCTTATTTTCTCTTATTTTTTTTTAAACATACTAAATAAAGCATACAATTTTTTTTTGCTTACATATAGAAGAACAATTTGTGGAAAAGATTTGATGAAAATTTGAATGAAAATTAGTATAAGCTAAGGCGTTGGCAATGTCGTCAAGTAGACCGTCCACAAGAAAGTGCTTTCGCGGTAGTCATGATAACTTTTTACATTTTTTTCTGAAATTAAAAACCCAAATTTTTTCTTGAAGTAGGCGAATTTTCCTTGCCACTGAACGAAAAAAAATTAAAAAAATTAAAAACTGATATTTTTTTTACAAAAAATCTCATTTTTTCATAAAATTAGGCCAAATATTGGCTTGTAAAATGAGTAGAAATCAAAGTTAAAATAAATCCTTCGTTCAGGGACAACAAAAATGCTTAAAATAAGTTTGAAAAATTTGAGCTCAATCGCTTCAATAGTCGTTGAGAAATTTTGACTAACGATCTCGATAACGTGGTTTTAAGAAAAACGCGTTTAAAGTTTCGCCTTCGGTCAAGCCATGACAAGGACGGCGGGCAATAAAATTCCTAATTTCTACGGTTTCGTCTCGATCGGCTTGAAAAAATGGGGAAAATATACCTCACACTTTGTTCTTTATACAAAAAATGATCAAAAAAATGAATTTTTTGAAGTTTCATGAACTATGTAACCCCTTAACTGGTTTGCCAACCCCAGAACATACAACATATAATTGTCTATGAGCAAAGGGATTCCTATTTTAATGTGGACTTCATAACTCTATATATTGACCCTAAGCTTTGTGGATAATGATGTCGCTTGGTTTTAAAAGTCCGGTCGGAAATGTTGCTTTCCATTACGTCCTTCCGCAAGTCGTTTGGCGTTGCAGAGTTTTGGGTGAGAATTAAATAATTCTGTTGATAAATTGATGATCTCCACAACGGTGTCCATTGATGTGTTTACTTTCAACATTAGACTGAACAGAATGGTTGAGATCATGGACAGATGTTTTTTTTGCAGCGAGCATAGCTCCCTTACTCAGCCTTCCATGTTCTTTATAAACGATTCGGATATTTGGGACGTGCATCGATTTTGCTTTTGATATCACTCAATTACAGAGGTTATCAGGCAAAGTAATCCGTCGGGAAGTCCAACCGATCGAAATTTTGCCTTAATGCCGACCTGACAGGTATCTTAGAGAAGAGAGAGGTATGCCTACATGGTGTGCAGAGTTTACCGTGATTAGGTTTAGGTTAATAGTTCGTCTGCCTCCCTGTTTCCTGGAATACATCTATAGCCCGTAACCCAAAAGACCGTCGTTTTTCATACAGCCGAGAGTTTGTTTAAGATTTCCATAGATCTTATTGTCACCTTTTGAGACGTTTTTGCCATCTATTTTTGAACCATCAGTGAGGATGAATATGCATGTTACCTGCTCACCTCCACAGGGTTAGGTTGCCGAAAGGGTGTCTAAAACCGACAGTCGTACCAAACGTATGTACGAGTATGTCCTGCATGCAACGACTAGCTTCTTCCTAGACCTCCCACTAGATGACCTAGACGTCTTAGACATATCTAGCCTATATTAAAACGAGGTTGGTAAGCGGCTACTACAACAATAACATGGATACGGATCTTTGTTCCAGAACTGTTACGTTTTCCTATTCAAGTTCCTATGGGAGTGTGGTAGGGTGGTGTGTGAGTGCCGCATTGCAGCTTGCTTGTAATTTTCCTGTCTGTCTGTTGTAGTGAAATTAGAGAGAATTTCAAGTGCTTCCGCCGAGGTTGAGAGTAGTTTGCACCTGTACGAAGCTTTGTGCAGTACCAGCTACAGACCGTGACTCCATGGATCTGCTAGATACCAAAGGAGTGAAGCGAGAGCTCCACTTTGTCGGATGCCTCTATTGGCTTACCTAGTTGTTGATGCGCCTCTTAGTTCAGCGAAAATTAGCCACTTTTTGCTGGGTCCATGAGCCATTAATGTCATTGCATGATAAAAACGAAAAAAAAAATAATTTTAAGTTTCTTTGGAAACTGAACAGTCTGCGTAGCGAAATGTTTTCTTTTTTTTTTTTGAGAAGAATTTCCATGAAATGCGCTGATACTGAGAATCTTTTCCGACTTTTTTTCTCGGTATCAAAAGATTATTCACATTTATTTCGCGCTGCGCTAGTCACGGTGTAGTGTAATGTGCAATAGGCGACATAAACATTACAACTGCATTACAGATTTTCGTCAGAGCGAAGCTTTAAGTACCTCAATTGACTTACCCACTTATCCATTTATGAATCTATTTGTTTTACGTAGAATTGCGGAGCTTGCAAAGTCTTTCCTCACTTATCTATGTTTTTCATAATTCTGCATTTTCCATTTTTTATGAGAAAATTGCGGATTACTTACACTTATTTAGTTAAAATAAATCACATTTGACAGGCAACACTCAGCAGTTGGCAATCAGCAGGTTAGCAAATTGCACAGAGAGTGTGAAATGTCTCGGCGTGTTGCTGATTTGTGTGGCTAACTGACTGACGTATTGTCAGCTCGTTGGCAGAGATGTGTTGCCCGAAAGTAAGTGACCCAATTTCATTTTTGACATTTGGTAATTTCGATGATTGAAAACAGAAATTCGGTGATGAAAATTAATGGAATTTCTACTTGGCATTTGCATAAACATACAAATTTTTGTTTGGTGAATATACATACATATATTTTTAATTTGAGAAATCAGCAAATGTTTGAAAATGTTTATTTGACCCTTTTAAAGTGAATATTTCTTGAAGCATTTATTTTTAAACGATTTACAGAATTGGCACGTCTTTATGGCAATTCTATATCTGCATGCAATTAACCAGCAATCATAGGAATATATATACTGTATATTATATAATATGTATGTACTTACTTACTTTACTGGTGTAGATTGGGCAGATTCAACAACGTTGCGCCATTCGTTTCCTCTTTTTGCTGTTTGGCGTCAATTGGAAATACCAAGTACAGCCAAGTCCTTCTCTGCCTGATTTTTCCAATGGAGTGGAGGTCTTCCTCTTCCTCTTCCTTCTGCATTTATTTACCTATTGTTTGTATTTGTAATGAATTATGAATTATCTCTGACAACTTGGTTATAAATTAAGACAAATATTGAATTTCATTGCAGCTTATATGCTTGACTTAGCTTATAAATACGTCAAGTGTATGGCCAATGAATATAAGGGTGTTTTTGTTTTTAGCAATGTGGTTGGAAATGTTTCTATTGTAAAATGATTTTGGGCAAGTGGGCGCCTCAAATAAATGCAAGTCACGAGGCTCAATTTTCGACCCCTTTTTGCTGTAGTAAAGCAATCGTCTCGGTCTTATCTGCGTAATTCACCCCCGAACTCTATTAAGAACCGAACGGCTGGGAGATACAATCACATGCAAAACATCTCCTCTCTCTTACCTCCAAATCTTAGACAAACGGCTTTTCGACAATAGCTTGTGGATTATCTTCACTCAAAATGAAAGTAAGCTTCTTCTCTGTACAAAACCAAGCCTCTTTGGCAATATCTTCCTTAAAGGAAATGAGCGTCTCTAAAAATGCGCTTTATACACTAGAGTAAACGCGTGATGGTACTCATCAACAAACACTGTATAAGGGGACTCCGGGATGAAATTTTGTCCCATTAGATTTTGACGAGGTCAAGCGAACACCGTGATGAATTTCAAAGTCGCGAGAGCCGATATCGGCATTGCATCATCCTTATTGCATATTAGGATCTTATTGATCGAGCGTATTGTGTGAAAGACGAAAGCCCATCGCCAACGAATTGATTGGAACATATCAGCGCGGCTGAGACCTGGCAAATCTACTATAAACCAGATATTCCTCTGGCTTCAAATTCTGGAAACCAATACGGTTATGAAAACCGACGATTAGCTACACCAAAAGTAATTCAGAATTGGGTAGTTTTGAAGTTTAAGTTAGAATCGCTCTTGCCAACAGGTGCTACTTTGAGTAAAATCCACGTCATCCCGGGCATTCTGTATGGCCCCGAAGTGTGGATAATGACAACAACTGGTGTATATGTATTAAGAGTTTTCGCTGGAAAAGTTTAAGATTCTCTGCTTATGGGTGACAGCGAATATCGCAGTCACTAGAATGATGTGCTTTATGAGATTTCCGACGACATTGGCATATTCCAGCAAATATTAAGACTAAGTCATGTCAGCAGAACGAATGAAAGCATTTCAGCTTTGAAAGCATTCGATGGAGTAACCGCTGATGGAAGCAGAGAAAACGGAACACCTTCACTCTGGTAAAACAATCAGGTGAAGTATATCATTACTTGCAAGCGTATTTGTGGCAGAAAATAAACGAATTCACCTCTTAAAAGTCAATAAGCCGCATGGAGGTCTATTGAAACTGTTGATCGCACCATTTTTTGCAATAATAGCTTACTAAAAAATATAGCAAAATCTCGGCGTAATATTGAAATTTACACTATCGTTGAAGTTGATCCTTAGTAGTCGATATTTTTTACGCTTTTAAGCCAGATGATAGTAGATATGCCTTTTTTTGCCTACGCTCTTCACCAGA